GACATTCCTGTTGATCCACACCGACTTACTTGTATCCCGAAACCTTGAAAAGTCCTCCTCCTCCATGTATATCCTCCGCCCGAGCTTCCTGTTTGACATGTGAGGGCTAAAGCGTTCTTTCCCCGGAGGGGGGTCAAAAACACAGTCATGCTTGGAATGGCCCACGCGCCCACAATGGAAACAGACGGTTGGAAGGAACTCATATTTGAGATTGACCCAGAACTCGCCAAGCTCCTCGCTTACCGCCATGATTTGGGACCGCAGTGGCTTAGCATAATTAATGAGCACGTGCACTTTGACAAAGAGCTCATCCGTCTCCTTGGACGCGAAGACATCTGCCTCCAAGACCTGACCAATCTTCCCCGCTGCCATTTTCTGGCCAAACTGCTTCGTGCAGCAGTCATCTTTCACATTCCAGAGTTGGACCCGGAAAGGGGCAAAGGCTAACTCGTCAAATGTGTTTCTGGAAATGGGTGGTGTCCAGGACCGGAGATGGAATATCCTGTCCTTGACAATCCAGGGCGTTCGTTTCAGGACCCACACCCTTGTTTCGTCACTTGGCAGCACCACTTCAAATAAGCCAAATTTCGTGAGTGTAACCCTAAGGTTTTCTTTCACACGCCATGCTTCAACAAGTCCCTCATTCAGCTCCGCAGTAGTAAATTTGGCCTCCGAAAAGAGCCTTCCCAGAAGTGTCCTAGGGTTCGAAACCTCACCGATTGAACCTCCTCAAGTGAGAACTCAACCACTTGATCCTCAGCAATTCGCGACGTCATATTCACCTGAAAATCATAGACAATTAAATCATTAGTTGCATCACAAATGGGTATTTTCCTCAATGGGCTCGAAATCAGCAAGCCCAAAGGCCTAATGGACTTGGGATTTAAACCAAAGGACAAGTGGTTTAATGAGACAGATGGGTTAGGCCCGAAGGGAAATGTTGGCCCAGCCGGCCCCAAGGGGGTGGCCAAGTCCACCGGCCCGGCCCAATTACTTCTTTGGAGCCCGAAGGCTGGTCCCGGCCCAACAAACCCCAAGGGGGCAGATATACCCGTCGGGCCCGACTCCCCTTCTCCTCCTTCCCGGGCTATCACCACGGGCCGAATACACCCGAGGGTTGGCGTCTCCTCCGCAACAGAGACGTCCAGCAGGGCCATTACCTCATCCGCAGCCGGTGGCGACATCGCCCAGCTTTCCGGCCGCAGAACCACGGACCTCACTGGCGGGGACAGGACGCTCCCGAGTTCAGGGCATTCTCCCATCACACCAAAGACAGAAGAAGAGCAAATCTTACCTAAAGCGAGATCGGAAGCAGCCCCCTGTTTATTGGACTTCGTCACCAGTTTGGTTTCTGGGGAGAGCGACCAGCACCGTTCGCTTGTTGATAGCCGCTTTGATTTCTGTCTCTGGGTTTTATAGGGAAGACACTCAACGGTTTCCAGGTGGAATCGAGATTCCCAAGGGCGGTTCGAAATACGAATTGGATTGGGACTCGGATACCTTTGCCGCGGGGTAATTCGGTTTCCGCGGAGATTTGTCCTCGCTCTCATGGAACTATATGACATATGAGCACTTCTATTATGTTATATAGCATTGGTGCTTTAATATACAACTCAAAGTTGTATCATAACATTAAATGTATAAGTTTATGTTGTACCGTAAAAGAATTTGTACCATTATGTTATGGTACAACTTTACAACTTAAAGTTGTACCATCACATAAAGGTACAAGTTCAAGTTGTACCATAAAAGAATTTGTACAAAAAGTATAGGTACAATCTAAAGTTGTATCATAACGTAAATGTACAATTTAAAGTTGTACCATAAAGGCAAAAACCTATAGCACCAATACTATATAGCATTGTAAAATTTCTCAATGGAACAATACATATTGTGATTGTTCAAATTAGACCACCATCATATATCAAGTATGTTATTTAGTGGTACAAACTGATACATTGTTAGTTTAGCTTTTACAACATTGTACAATAATGTGGCACACGATCGTGATCACTTCTACCGAATGGTAAAAAAAAAATTATTTCAAAAGATATCATTGTGCAGACCATAACAAATCAAAAAAAATTATGAAAAAATATATAAATTTGCAATTTAGATGGAAAAATACTTACCGTATAAAATCATCAGAGATTTGGAGAAGATGAGAGATGCCGTACAGCTGGCATCATTTGCTTGGATGTATGAAAAATGAAAAGAAATAACCAAATAAAAAAGCATTCACTTATTTTGCATTGAATCTCAAAAGGCAAAAAATGAAAAAACTATAAAAATTAAGATGTGTAAATGAGAAAAATAGGGCTCCTACTTTCACTCTCCGTACATGAAATTATAAATGTAGAAAAAAAAGCCATTAGTGTGCTAAATATTATTGGAAGATTTACACTTCATACATCATCGTACATTCAACAATAATAGAGCTTGCCTACTCATCCATATTTTTTTGAATGCACACAATCTTCCAGGCCTCAAACATGGAAGCTGTAGCATATGAACACATTGTGAAACATGTATGTAGTTGATTTTTGTGTCCAATATAGGGTGAATAACAATATTGTGCATAGCCTTTGCATAATCGGATATGGGCCATTGATTTTAATTGGGACCATATCTAACGAGTGAGACTAAAAGATCTTTATTTTTTCTACTTTTTTTTTACTTTTATCTTTTTTTTTTAACTTTGATTTCAAAAACATATCATAGATTGAATGAGTTCGTTGTGATCTACAAAATGATATCTATTTTCAGTATATTTCGAGAAATTAATTTTCGTACCATCCATAGTGCTCGTTTCCACCCTTGGTCACCTTCGTTTTTAACGCAATTTTTTATTTATTATTTATTATTTTTTTTTTTGTCCTGAGGTATTAGACATACAAATTTATTAGGAAAATAATTTCATGAACAAATACACTATACCAGATACCATGCATCCTGATAATTGATGATAGACAGGCAGCTAGCTCTTATACGAGCAGATGCAGCCCAACATACACAGAAGAGCAAAAAGCTGGGATCTCCAAAAGACACGTACAAAACAACTTCCATTCCACCTCCTTCAGAACATCCCTTAGATCACTCTTGTGCTGCGGAGTTGTCCACAATATCCACTAATTCTAGCATCGCTTCTTCCTTAAAGCTCCCTTCCTGATCTTTGTTGGAAGCAGCGGCTTTCTGTTGGGATTGCTGTTAGAAGTTCTAGTAGCAAAATGTAATTAACCAATATTACTGTTTAATTACGTTAGCCTGGGGTTGTGAGGCGATGTATATAGGGGTTGCTATTCGTCGCCCTAAAATTCCTTATTCGTCGTCCTAATTAAGATAATTTTACTCTAATACTCTTAATTCATTTATTCGTAGTTTAAACACTTAAACCCAAAACAAATTACCGGGAAATAAAATAAAATTGACATCGACTCATTGCCGGCCGCCGCTGTGCGATTTACAGTCCATAACAATGGCGGTGGGGCTCGAGTTAAATCCAAGTTTTGCACTGAAAACAAAAACACCAAGACATCCCCCTGTCCCTGGTCAAGTGAATTCCAAGAACCCCCCTTACTTTGTCGAATTAATTCCCCGCGAGATAATCTTTGAAAAAAACCCCTAAACCCTTACTCTGTTCTTGGAGCTCTGTTTATGTTTCTCTTCTCGTCCTTTTTTATTTGGTAATTGGGTTAGTTGTTTGGTGGGGGGACTAGGAAGTGGAATCGTTTCCCCTTTCATGAAGCGAGGAAGATAAGAAGGGCTGATGGAAATAATAGATGAGATTGCAGAGGACGGCTTGCAGCGGGCGACGGCTTCTTCTTCGATTTGAGCGGCGGTCAATTTGGATTGGGGATGAAGAAGGGATTAGAGATTGTTTGGTTAGGGTTTACAACTGAAATTGGATTGAGGGTAAATATGTCAATTTGTTGGGTTTTAAGATGATAAAATTTGAATTTTAGGGCGACGAATAGCGATTCAGTGTATATAAGTGGAAAAACCTAATTACATTTTGCGAGGAAGATAAGAAGTGGTTTCTTGGAGGATTTAAGACTGAGCAATTTTTTCGTGTGATTAATATTATAGACAACCAAGCATTACCACAGGGTATAGATAAGCAATAAATGTCTCAAGTTTTTTTTTTTCCGAAACATATCAAAATGGATGTCATTTAGAAGAGCACAATTAATCTGATTTTTTGTGCTAAAAATGTAATTAAAATTTAAAATGAAAGAAAAATAGCTTGTTAAATATAATTAGGAGAAAAATTAGAGACATTTCAAAAATAGTAAGCGTAAGGTCGTGCTTGGTTATACATACAGTGGGTCCGCTCCCGGTCTTTTGTATGTATAGGCTATGAAACTCATTGTGGTTTGATTTTGCATTGGTGTTTCCATCATTGCTGTTTTGAATGCACATGCTTAAAATGGAAATCCATTAGTGACCATCATTCTGCCAACCTCAAATATTATATTCAAGGGTATTTTAATTTGTTGCATTCATTTGGTTTGCTGTTATTTACAATGGAGATCCACAATAAAGCGGCCGATGAGGCCTAGTGTTCATAACAATTAAGGCTCTCTCAACAGATTGACTAAAATGGATTAAAAAAAATACAAAAGGGAGCATAATATAATTAAGCTAAACGGCCAGAATGCTTGATATATACCAGGAGCGGCCAGAACAAGTTTGCAGGTTTTAATTAATAGAGTTATCCTTCTCTCGAATGCTTCATTCAGTCTCCGTTTTGTGTTTGTCAAAATGTAAAAACTAATACGCTTAAAGAAAAGAATACTCAGTGCCTGCCGGGAACGAAACGGACAGATAGCTAGGGTGTGTCAAACTGGGTGGCAACCTGTGGTTACGTAATTAGTCATTAATTAATACCTGTCTACATATGCGTGTCTGTATGTATATATATGAAGGGCGTCGGCAGATAATGATGAAGCCATCACTGCTAATTACCACATCCCAAAAAAGAAGAGAAAGAGAAACCCACAATGAGTGTTGTTGGGGCTACGCTTCTGATCTCTGCATGCCTATGTTTCTTCTATGTGGTTTTGGGGTTCCTTCACAGGGTGATATGGCAACCCTTCTGGACGCAGAGAATCCTTTCCGCGCAAGGAATCAAGGGGCCTTCCTACTGTTTCCTCCTGGGGAATGCCAAAGAGCTCATCCGTCTCAGAAACGAAGCATTGGCGAAACCCATGACCGCTCTCTCTCACGATATTTCTCACAGGATTCTGCCTTACGTCTCCGTCTGGGCCAAGAACTATGGTAATTAAGCGAGCGGGATTATAGCCACTTGTTTTGACTGCGGGAAGAAGTTGCGTACCAGCCAGATTATATAAATTACTTGCTTGTTTTTCAACAATATAACGTAACGTATCCCTTTGTTTGTGGGTGGTGAATAGGGAGGGATTTTGCCTTCTGGATTGGACCGCGAGCTCAGCTGGTGGTGACGGAGCCAGAAAAGATTAAAGAGATATTGTGCAACAGATATACCAACTTCCCAAAAGCAGAGTTATACTCCTTCTACCTTAAGAAGATTTTCGGACAAGGCCTTCTCATCAGCGAAGGTGAACAATGGAGCAAGGTTCGGACACTCACCGTTTCTGCCTTCCACGGCATGAGCCTCAAGGTTTGGAATTATTCTGTTTCCGTCCGCGAATGAAGACAAAATGACTTGATGAGTTTGATACATCTTAATTACTGACAATTGATAGAACTTAACAATAATAATAATGTATTATATTATATTATATTATATTGCAGGGTATGTTGGCAGACATGGTTGCTTCTGTGGAGATGATGTTGGAGAGATGGAAGGAAAAGGAAGGCGCAGAGGTTGAGATTTATGAAGAGCTGAGGACACTGACGTCGGAAGTGATTTCCAGGACAGCCTTCGGGAGTAGCTTTGAAGAAGGGAAGCAAATCTTTGGCATGCTTCACAAAATGATGGCGCTTGCCGAGACTAATATGTATACTATCAGGCTGCCTCTCATCAGGTAAATAAATTCATCAAGATTCCAAGTATATAATAATACAAATGTCAGTATCCTCCTTTGATGATTTGCTTGGCAACTGGTCAAAGCTTATTTCATTTCATATTTTTTCATCATTTTATTTCATTTAGTCGTTTTTATGCCTGTTTTTTTCATTTTTTTCATTCCATCGTTTTTACAAAAGTTTATTCCCCTCCGATGATTTGTTTGGAGACTAGCCAACTTCTTCATTTCATCATTTTTTTTTTATTTAGTTATTTCTACACATGTTTCTTCCTCTTCCGAAATTTTTTCTGTCGATGGGCCAAATTATGTCAAAAATGCATATCTATTGGGCCAGAGTCGCCTATCAAATCAACAAGGTGTTGAAGAATCGAAGCTCTAATCGAAGATGACACCCTGACGGCTAATTGAGTTTCCGCTCCTCGATATACCTTCTCTATGGCTTGGAGGCTAACTTCAACTTCCTTCACATTCTTCTTTCATCGCTCTACTGGTTAGTTTTTAAAAAAGTTATATTCAACGATGATAGGTGGAGGTAAGTTCACGAATTGGAGTTTGAAGACTTGGTTAGCAATGTGTCCTCTTGAAATTGAAGATCTCTTGCTTCACATATTAGCATAGTTAGTAAAATACGGTACGAGAAAGTTACGTTTAAAATATATACGGGGTATTATACTTCGTCTCTTAGCTAATGTTACGTTTAATAGTACGTTGATATTCATAAATATATAAAATTAAAATTAGTTACGAACCAATTATCTATTATATATGAAATAGCCGTCAGTTTGAAATCATTAGTTATCTTGTTGAATTTAAAGGAAATATTCGAGTCTTATTCAATAGTTTAAAATGAACTTATGGATCCACATGCAGCAACATTTTCAAAACCGCAGACGAAATGGAAGCTGAGAGGTTGGACCAGGGGATTGCAGACTCCATTATTGAGATAGTGAAAAGGAGAGAAGAAAAGGTTAAATGCCAACAAGATGTTGATAGTAATGGGTATGGGAGTGATTATCTAGGGTTGCTAATACAAGCTCACCATGATGAAGACGAAACCAAGAAAATCTCAATGGAGCAACTGATTGACGAATGCAGAACATTGTATGCTGCGGGACAAGAAACTGCCAATGCCGCACTTTCTTGGATGATTTTGCTTTTGGCAATCCATCAGGACTGGCAAGAAAAAGTTCGAAACGAAGTTATCAGTATATTTGGTCACGAAAAATGCCTCGATTTTGATGGGATTGCAAGGCTCAAAATTGTGAGCAAACTCTCCCCTCATTTATGTTCCATATAGCAAGAATAATGTCCATTCATCACTCTCGTAGAATAAGTTTTATCTTTCTTATGTTTTTTGTTGCAGACGGGTATGTTCATCCTTGAAACTCTAAGGCTCTACACCCCAGTTTATACTGGATTTATCCGCGACATTGGCAAGGAAGCCACGCTAGGCAAGCTAACTGGGCTTGATGGGGTGCAATTCCACATTCCATTCATAATGATTCACCATGATCCCAAAATCTGGGGAGAAGATGCGCATGCTTTCAAGCCAGAAAGATTCTTAGACGGCATTGCAAAAGCAACGAACAACAACCCTACTGCATTCATGCCCTTCGGGATGGGACACCATATGTGCGCAGGATCCAATTTTGCCATTAACGAAGCCAAGATAACCATTGCGATGATTCTTCAACGCTATTCTTTTACTCTCTCGCCTGGATATGTCCATGCACCTCACCCTGGTTTGACACTGCGCCCTGCCTATGGAATTCAAATAATTCTTAATGCACTTTAGATGGTGTTTGTTGCGTGGAGTAAAAAAAAGTGTCAACTTTGAGATTATGCATTATTTATGGCTATTATTGGGTAATCCAAAAGAGAAAATTTTGTTTTAATGGTGTTTTTTATGTTTCGATCTATCGTAACTATTGAACCAATATACTCAAATAAATATTCGAAGAAAATATACCCTTAATTTGATAAACTTCTAAGTAACATTGACACTATTACTCACCATTGTCTCAATCCTTCTCGTAAGCACACACAAAACCAAAGTATGGTTTCTTAAAGTGAAACATTTCATCCTTATATAGATTGAATCTATTATTTGTGTACCAGTATAATACACTATGTCAAAGATTCAATTTAGAAGTTTTAAACACATCATCTTCTCTCATGCAAGATAACAAGCACATACCCCAGGATGACAAATTGTGTGCTTCAATTTCTGATAATGAGCTTTCCTTGTTGAATTCAACTTCTAGTGTTGTATTAGAGGAAAATTGGGTGTCTCGTGATCAAAAATTAAAAAGACTATAAACCATCTCTTTTGCAGACTTGACCACCAAGTCTCTAGCAAATTATATTATCAAATGATCAGCTAAATTATCTCGACTCCAATTATATATATTGTATAGAAAAAAAAACTCCATGAGTGATCAATTCATATTTTTTCTCTGTCTAACTTTCACATGACGTAACTTGTCATTATACACTTGGCTATATGCCTTAGCCAAAGTAACATTACTATCACCAAAGATAGCAATGGGTGAAACTGGTATAGGGCATAAAGAATGTCATAAGCCAAGCCTCTCATCTAATATGTCTCTCCTCTAGGAGAAACCAAGGCCAGGAACTTTGAATCCATAGTGTAATTTGTTATGCAAGTTTTCTTTTTAGATGCACTAGAGATGACACCTCCCCCAAACAAAGAAGACTCATCTAGATGTTGAAGTATGACCTTAAACATTAGATATCCAACTAGCATCAGTTTATCCTACCAAGTCGACGACAACCATCACCGTGAGAGAATGACCTAAGTCGTCAAAGTGACGAATGACTTCATCTAAGCGGTCGTCAATCTCATCAAGGTGAGTATTGAGATTTGAGATTCATTAGCTCGGAAGAGGTCTCTAGAGATAACCACTTGTTCTTTGATGGAGGTGATGTGAGTATTCATGTTCGTGTCGAGTTCTTGAATACGTGTTTCCATTGTTGTCGTACAATTGGTGAAAGAAAGCAGGTGTTCCTTCATTCTCTTCGTCTCTATCTGGTTGATAGACGGCTCTGGTACCACCTTGCAACGACCCGTCCTGATTTATCTCAATCGAAGAAAAGAATTGGGATGACGAGCTCTCTAATTGAGAATTGGGGGTGAAGAACAGAGCAGATAGTCGTTGGGAATTGGGGAAAAGAAGAAGAAGAAGAAGAAGAAGAAGAAGAAGAAGAAGAAGAAGAAGAAGAAGAAGAAGAAGAGAGAGAGAGAGGTTTAGTTATTTATTGTTATAGTCGTTATAGAGTGCTAGCTCTATTTATACTGGTGGTATTGAAGAATTACCAAATGATACCCGCAACAGTATATTTGTTTATTCCCAAGAACCCCACAACTTCTAATTATTTATACTTAAGTCCAATTTGTTACATATTCGCTCAAAGATCCAGAGTTTCTTCTGTGTTTTCGAGTAACTTGGTGCATTGGAAATTTGGAATAATGCTCTTATGCATTCTTACAAAATCAAAAAGTGTACAAATCATAATCATGAAAATAGGTCACAAATCATATCATGAAAATAGTGTACGAACAAATAATAGATAGTATACATATCATAATCTAGAAGTGTACAAATCATATCATGAAAATAGGTCACAATCGTCTGTGTCACTGCCTGGGGATCAGTTGGCGATATGTAATCCGCCACCGAGATCAATGTAGTTGCCGGCAGTCATGGAGGAGGCCGCGGCGGCTACGGCAGCTAGGAAGAGGGCAGTGGCGGGTGAGGAGGAAGAGAGATAGAAGAAGTTCATGATGGAGAAAACCCGCCTGAATGGAATTCATATCTCCTTCGTCTGGTCGAGAAGGGAGAAAGCCCGGAGAACCAGGCTTGCTTAGCTTACAAAGCTAGCTTACTAAGGCGAGGGACTAGAGCAGGCTACCATGAGACAAAATATCTTTCTTTCGAAAGAGATTCGATTCAGAACTATGCTAATTATATGTCTAAGGAAGGTCCAATATTGGAAAAATTTCAGAGGTTTTCCTTGACTTTGTCCGTGTCAACAAACAGTTCGAAATGCCCGTTCGTCATATCCTCGTGCTGATTTGATTCAATGATTTCTTCATATTTTACTTCCCCATGGCGAACACCTATTCGTGGAAGAAGCTCTACCTCGGTGTCCTGCCTCTAAGCCTTCTTTCTTCACGAGCCTCAGATAGAGGTCGGTCTACTTTTTCCCAATCTACCAAGAAAGGTCCTCTCATGGATGCCCACGGGTAAGATTGCCAATCTTTCTCAGATCCTTAGATTCCGAGTAAAGTAACCTGGTCCTGAGCTCAAAGAGCAGTCCCCTGCCCTCGGTCCGAACCATCACAGGAAAGGAAGCAATCTCCCGAAGAAGTAAGTGGTCTGATCCACCCTCCCTAAATACTTAACTCAATGATCTTCTACAAGCCCATTCTTTGGCCGGCTATTACCTATGTCATTCTACGTTTTTTATTCGCGTTCGCGTAACTATTCTCGTCCCCCGTCGTGATCAAATGAGAATTGATAAGAGGCTCGTGGGATTGACGTGAGGGGGTAGGGATTATATATTTCTTGGAGCGAACTCTAAGCGAATATGAAGCACATGGATACAAGTTATGCCTTGAAATGAAAGAGAATTCTGAATCAGCTTTGTCTACGAACAAGGAAGCTATAAGTAATACAACTAAGAATCTCATGGAGAGTTCGATCCTGGCTCAGGTTTAGAATATATGAGCCCTAGCTGGCTGAATGAAATGCCGCTGCTGACTCTGACTCCGGTTCGGTACCTACTCCATATCTAAAGAGATACCACAGCCTAAAGCCTTATCGCTTTAGACCTTGAACTTTCTAACTCACCTGCTCAAACGGGAAGAACAAAGGGTGGTGGACAAGGAGCAACCGGGCTTTCAAATTATACAAAATAATATTTCAAGGTATACAGAACATATCATAAAAATACCCAAACTAATAAAACAAATTATTCAAACCAGATAATAAAAGTGTACAAATCAACAGTAAATAGTATACAAGTCAAAATATAAAAAATGAACAAACCAACAACAGATATACAAATCAACACAAACTATACAAAGCTGATTATGAAAGTATACGAACCAAAAATAAAGAATATACAAACCAATGCAATAAAGTATAAAAATCATAAAATAAAACTATACAAATTAATATTACAAAGTATACAACACATGTAATAAAAATATACGAACCAACAACACAAAGGATACAAACAAATTATAAAACTCTACAAATCATATAAAAAACGTATACAAATATATCATAAAAATATATACACTAATAATCCAAAGTATACAAACATAATTAAAAAGTATACAAATTAAAATGATGTTCTATACAAAGCATACTAGTAGCACAAAATACCATTACTTACAATACAAATAAGTAAACTTGTATTACAAACCACTAAATGCAAAGCATACAAATCATAACACAAAGTATACAAACTAGACATGCAAACATTACATATTACAAGGTATGCATATTAGTCATATAACATTACAAACGTTATAGGCAAAAATGATAAATTACAATGATAAACGTTATAATTCTTTTTATAATGATGATATTATTAAAAAGAAAGAAAGCAAGAGGGTCCAACAAAACAACAACTAAAACGAAAGGGACACAGCACCTTGAGATCAAAAGAGCTGAACTACAAGAACGCCCAAAAAAACAAAAACAGAAAAGCAAATGGTAGGACAAAACAACCCAGCCAAACAACTTAGACAGATCAGACCGTCCCTGGAGGAGGCTGAGACACAGAAAACAAGGAGGAGAACAGACCACCCCCAGAGAGCGAAAAGCTAAGCAAACCATAATGACAAAAATCAGCCGAAACAGAAAGACAAACACAGCAGCGCATCCTTAGAAGAATAGCAGCAGCAAACCAGAAAAAGGAAACACAAGTTAAATAAGTTGAAGGAGAGTTCGCGTCCAATGTGCCACTTGACCTCGATCAGCTTTACCCCTAGCAACAATCCAACCTAAAATAGCCTTGACCACTCTTTGCACAATAACTTTCAGAGCAGTCGAAATATTATTAAAAATCCTTTGATTGCCTTCCAACCAAATGTACCATGAAACAACATGAAGAGCAGCATAAATGAACCAACCATCAATGGTATCAGGGACACCAGCCGACCAATCCTTGATGAAAGATTCAAGATCACAATCTTTAGGAAAGAAAACAACCCTATAGTCTCTTTGAAACGTGTTCCATATCTGTCCGGTATAGCTGCTGTAGAGGAAAAGATGGTTACTTATTTTCTCCTCCTTACAACAAAGCTCGTAGCGACTCGCTAGAGACCATCCACGTGTTTGCAGCATATCCAGGGTCAGCGCCTTCTTATGAGAGAGTATCCACAAGAAGAAACAAATCTTTGCGGGAATGATCTTTCTCCAAACCGAGTCTGTGGGGTAGTTTGGGATGCCTGGGAACCTGTCATTGACGAGAGCCCTATACATAGAGTTAACTGAGTAGCCATCTTCTGGATTGGGCCGCCAAACTAATCTGCAAGGACTGTTACCTCTATACTGAAAGTCGAAAGAATTAAGGAAATTAATCAAACTCACCCTCTCCCTCTCAGCCCCCCTCTCAACAGGAATTTAACATCTAAATCAACAACAAAACCACCACCTGAGAATTTCATGATGTCGCTGATTCTGGCTTCCGGTCGCGAGGCGGCAGCAGCGACTCAGGGGAAGGTGGCTGCAAGGGAATGACCTAAAGCCCAATGGTCCA